GGAGAGACCTGATAGGGGAAGATGGTGGCAGGAAGGGTTTTCTGGGGAGATAGAGGTGGGGAGATACTTGAGCAGTCGTAAGCCAGAATGAAAGGAAAGGTTGGAGGCTGCAAGACAGGAGGCTCTCCCTAAGACAGCCCCAGAGGGAGCTGGAGGGGATGGATGGAGGCACAGTGGGTGGCTTAGCAAGAGCTCACTTGGCTGGACTTCAGGACTGTGAGATGATGGGGGTGGATCTGATTATCTTTGTAGCCCCTTGCAGATCTGACATTCTTTCCTCTTTCTCCCTTCCTCCCCTCCTTCTCTCCCTTCCTTCCTGTTTTGCTCTTTCACAAATATTTACTAAGCACCTACTATGTGCTAGGTCTTATACTAGGCTCTGTGGCTATTATAATAAACAAAATAATGTACGGTGGGGCAAAAGTAGGTTAACAGGTATCTGTATGGGAAACAATACAATAATTAATAATAACACAAGAATAAACTCTGTGTTTTGCCCCACCCTGTACATCATCCTTACAACTGAGTGTAGAGACCAGCATTAAATGAGATTATGCACAAACAGTGTATAGGTCAGACTACACACTGTGTGCCAGTATTAATAATTGCTGTGTTCACTGAGCACTTCTAATGTACTAAGTACTTACAAGCATTTCTTACCCCATAAGAAAGGTAGAGCAGAAAACAGGCACAGAGTGGTCAGATGACTTCACACAACTAAGATAAGTGGAGCATGAGATTGGACTTGGATTTGCCTGCCTCCTGACGGGAGCACTTAACTGCCCCACTGTCCTCACTCGCTGTGTTCAGAGCAGTGGGCACCAGGATGAACGAGCTCTGGAGGTGCCCCCACTCTCGGGGAGCTCACAGTCCCTGAGCTCTGGGAAGAAACCGAGTCCATTTACTCCCCTTTTCCTCCAAGGGTGGTCCCTGGACCAGCAGCCCCCGCAGCCCCTGGGCGCTGGTTACAAACGCGGAAGCTCCAGCCCAGCCCGACCCTCTAGCCCAGGGGCTGCAGTTTAACAAGACTGGCAGGTGCTTGGTGCGCACGTGGAGGAGCCTAGTCTAGAGCCCGCTGCTCTGATTAGAGATGAGAAACCCTGGCGCGGGCGTTTGGCGATGACAGCGGTGGTGGAACTTCAAGGCTTGGTGAAGGAACCCAGCCTAGGCCTGCATGGGCGGTTCCACTCCCGTCCTAGGGGGCCGGCGGGTAGGACCCGGGCTGGAAGGGCACGCGAGGTGCTCGGCGCGCGCGGGGGGCTCCAAGGTGCT